ATAATCAATCAAAATATATATATATATATATATATATATATATATATATATATATATATATATATATATTTCAGGCCACGAGTTATTCTGAGTAGACCCTAATTGTAAGTCCGTATTATACTCAGACTAGTTATCGTTCACATCGGGCCGTCCCAATTAAGGGACAACAATCATTATTGTGTGGACCATATTTTGTCTACTGTAAAATAATGCACATTTAGAACAAAAATAATGTACATTGTATTCAGGGGATGTATATTATTTTTGTTCTGAGTATACATTATATTGTATAATGTATATTCAGTACAAAAATAATGTACATTTAGTATATTAAAAATGTACTTTTGTTATGGTGCACATAACATTGTGTGGACCATGGTCCACACAATAATTTGTCAGGGGTGAAGTGCGGGCCAAATATTGTTTTTTCGTTCACACTAGACCAACCCAATTAAGGGGCAAAGTGCTGACTAAATCGAATTAGAACTTCCGACCTCTCTTAAAGGATAAGAGTGCATCGCCACTCATGCCAATCAAGCTGGTTATATAATCAATCAATATTGAAACATAAACCTTCATACCCAAGCTAATTTAAGTTCTTCCTTTTTTCTTTTTTTTTTTTCCTTATTTATTATAAATGCAAAATTAAAGTTTTAGATATAAAGAGTTTGCCTTTTACTGACATCAATAAGCATCGATCAGTAGGACTGTAGGAGGCAAGTCATTAAGACAACTAAACTACTCAAGTACATACATAAGCAATTATTAAGACATAACTAAATATATATATCTGCCACTAAGTTTGCCTCCTATATAAACTAGAATAAAAGCAACAATTTTGGTTAATAATAATAATATTATTATTATTAATAAAATAATAATAATATTATTATTATTAATAAAATAATAATAATAATATTATTATTATTAAAATAATAATAATAATAATAATAATAATAATAATAATAATAAAAGTTGTTAAACTTTGAGAGTATATAAGACAATATGAGTTTGACACACGTATTATAGTACTTTGGCTAGCTTTGGCTACCTATCCGTGTAATATGTGTCTATTTAGATTGAGTCAGATCACACCCAAAGTATTTCTATATGTTTTTTTTTTTTTTTAATAATCTTATAATATAAAATTAACTTTGTAAGTTGTATTAAGTTCAATTTTTAAAGTGATTTTTAAAATTGTAAGTTTATAGTTTTAAAAATATAAAGTTTAAAATGCACAAATAGACAATTGAACTATTTGGGGAATAGCAATTAAGCTATGGAGGTTACCAACAAATTAGCATTTTTAGCAGGTTACCAACAAATTAGCAATAGCTTGAAAAAAAAAGTATAATTAGCATTTTTAGCAGGTTACCAACAAATTTTGGCTGATTAGGATGTCATGTGTATATTTTAATTTTAATTTTTTTATTATTATTATCCTACTAAGCATTTGACCCTTAAAAAAAAAAACTAAGCAGAATGAACTATTTAAAATTTTCATATATTGTGTCCTTATAGCACTTTCTAGCTGTCCTTCCTTCTACATTTTTTGAGTAATTATAAATTTAAATTTTATTTTTTAAAACAAAAGTTTAAAACTACTGTCGATTTGGTAAGTTTGTGGAGATTTAGTTTGATCAGAAAGGAAGGATTTCAGGGTGAAATGCTTAGTTTTTTTTCTATCTTTTTTTTAAGGGTAAAATGCTTAGTTTTTTTTCTATTTTTTTTTTAAGGGTCAAATGCAATGTATGGTTCACAACTTCACATACAATCACACATTGTCACATGCCAAATGGGGAATGGTTGTGTTATTGTGTGTGTTAAAAGCACAATGCCTTTTTGGTGAGTCTCCAAAGCAAAGCATCATTTGTGTAACCAACACAAAAAGTGTGTGTAAGCAATTAAGCAACCCGTGCATGGCCACCAAACCAAACACACCCCTCATCAACACACCATATATTATCCATCAATTACTGCTGGCAGCTAACCTTTGCACTGCTTCATTATTGCCTTCAACTGTTCTGTTTTGATAATTTGATATGAGAGAGAGAATAGAGAGAGAGAGAGAGAGAGAGAGATGAGATCTCACGATGAGGCCGGCCAGATAAAAGTGCAGTGAAAGCCCCAGCTACCAGTTATCCAGGCCACCCGCCACCCCTCCCCTGTCTCGTGCACACCCTTCTTCATGCAAATATTTATGGCGATTAGAGTTATAATTTTTGTTTGGCCCCCAGGGTTTAATGTAATTGGTTTGTTACCTGATTTAAAGGTCATGACTAGAGGTAATAACGTAGGGTTCAAATCCCATTAAAAACATGTACGGAAAAAGTTCAAAGATAATGGAAGGTCTTTATTGGATCCCTTGTGCGCACATGAAGATTATGATTTGACAGGCGGGCTGATCGCGCGATTCTTGATTTATCTTTGCAGTGGCTCTAGGATAGGGTCATGTAGACTTAGGACTAGTCCGACAAAATTGGGATTACCTAAAAAGAAAAAAAAAAAAAGATTTTTTGTTTGAGAGTAAAAAAGTAAAGGATATTTTTATACATCAAAATAGGTAATTTATATCGTGCATCAGGGCGCACATTGCATTGTGCGCTCGTTTTGCATTTCTTTTTTTTTTTTTTTGAAAATTTCGTTTTTCCGTGTTTGCTGTTAACTTGTTAAAAAAATCATGTTTTGAAAATGTACATAATTGTATACTAAAATGTACATAATTGTATACTAAAATGTACATAATTGTATATGAAAATGTACATAATTGTATAACAAAATACACATAAATTTTTAACTGTTAAAAAATCGTGTGTTCGAATGTACATAATTGTATAAAAAAAATGTACATAATTATATAACATAATGTACATAATTATATAACATAATATACATACACCCTGTCGCGTCGACTCTTATATAACTTAACAAAACGATGTTATTTTGGGAAGCGCAGTGCTATATGCACCGTGGTGCAAGGTATAACTATTGCATCAAAATAGTTCACATACAAAACGATTCAAATACAAAACTCATTTATTAACTCAACATATTAACAATAGTACAAAATGATTATACGATATTAAATCAAATTTATTTTTTAAAAATTATTTTAATTAAAATTGAGTTTTATTTTAAAAAACCCAACTGCCACGTCAGAGGGGTTGAATTTTTTAAAGTAAATTTATTCAAAATGACTAAAATAAATTTTAAAAATAATTTTTAACAGGTAATTGCCACGTCAGCCACAACCAGAAAACATGTTTATTTTAATTTAATTGCATGATTTTGAATTATTTAAAGATGGATTTAAATTTTTGAATTGAATTCCCAAATTACTGTTTCATATGTAGTTTTATAGTCTATTTAAAGCCTTATTATTATTATTATTTTAATTTAATGTGGTTACATTGCAATTATATAGAAGGATATGGATCTATCGCATTCAACTCTTCTAACTTTTGATTATTACTTATAATAAAATTTAACCATGAATCTGAGCATTAATTTCCCCCCAATTTTAGTTGTAACATAATTACAAAAAAAAAAAAAAAAAAAGGAAAAAAGAAAAAAGAAAGCATTAATTTCAGACTAGTTAGGGGATTGAAAGTGATGGATCACATTGTGGCTTCTCCATCTCAACAACATATATTATTGTAATAACATTTTGCCGTTACAAAATGATGTGATTTGTAATAAGCATAGCATAACGTATTAATTAATTTTTTTTGAAGGGACATATTAATTAATTTAGTTAAATGAAAGCATGTAATGTGAATATAGATAGCCAACTCAAATTTAAATTGCATGAGCTGAATATTTTAGGTAATAGTTAATGATAGGTGGAGTGAGTTTAAAAAATTAAATTCATATCAAATTTGGATTAGGACATATTTTAGATACAAATTTGGCGTATAACCCTAAATTTAATCCGACTCAGTATTTTATTATTTCCTACAAGTCTATCATAATTATAACTCTAGTAGTGGGTATTTATATTCGGTGTGGTTGAAAGTCAGGAATCAAGATTGTCAAAAAGGCATTCGTTCACACCGAAGAGGTTTGAATTACTTAAATATATAATTTAAGGTTTGAAGCCATGTGTATATAACAACATTATTAGAGGAGACGTCAAGAGTTTGATTAAATTTCGACTGAACTAATTTGGTGAGAATACTCACTGATTTAGTATTTGAATCGACAATGACAATGTGAGAATTATGTCCAAATAGAGTAGATCCCTTGTACTCATCTATATTTGACCTTGTCTGATGAGCTATTGAGTCACTCAAATGTTCTGTCGGCCGGAGTGTCGGAGTCATTGAGACGACATAACTGTGATTCTCTTAAATGAAAAACCACAAGTTCGAAAATAGAAACACCAATAAAAAAATTGTCCCATAAGAATTTATCATAAACGTTAATTGGTTGACAAAATTTCGAGTTTATTGAGGACGGAAATTACGAGAGATTTGATTCCCCATGGCTGCTGGTCTCACCCACAATGCAATAAACAACACGCTAATATTGCACCAAAATATAATACAATACACTATACACATCACGATTCTCACCACTTATCCATAAATTAAAATATATACTCGTGAATATATATATATATATATTGGATGATGGATCCAAAGCTTTTCCGGTCTCCGACGAAGAATCCTCTCCCTGCCTTCCCCAAAAACAATTCCGTTTCATTCATTCAGCACCCCCTACCCCCTACCCCTACCCCCTACGCCTTCTTCTCTTCACGCCCACCCGTATCATTGTCCCGTCCAAAAACAACTGGAAAAGACGATAACAACAAGCTTTTAAATAACACCCACTAACAGTTTCACTGTTTCAAGTCATTGCATTTTTATGGGTCCTCGCACTCCCTCTGACGCCCCTTCACGTGCCATTTATGCCATGTGTCCCTCAAATCGAGCTCCCAACAAATAATTTGCGTGTCGTGTCGTGTATTGTGGGCTGAATCTCCCCAAAATTCAAAAGGAAAAAAAAATAGTATTACGTGTTCATAGTGGGTACTGGGTAGTGGTTGTCATTTTGGTGTTTTTGGTTGTTCTGGGTACTGGAGTGAGGGAGCTGATTAGTGATTGCCCACAAATTTATGTTAAAGTTGAGGGCTTTCACTCCCTTTAGCTCTGTTGTTTGAGGTTTGTGTTGTAATGGTCAAAGAGAAAGTGAAGGGGGAGATCCTGAGGGTTTGACAGTGACAGTGACAGTCAAGCTTGGGGCATTTCCGTTTTACATTACACTCTACACTGGATTTGGCCCCAATGGGGGTAGGAATGGGGGACAGAGCTCCATTTCCATCGTCATCGTTACCTGCTAGCCTCACGCCTATTCTTCTTAGATCTGGAGATTCGGTTCTTGATAATGATCTTCCCCTGATAAAGTTAAATTTTCTCTTGGATCTTTCGCGTTCTTTTGGATACAGTACTAGTACTGTACTGTACTGATTTCAGTTTGAAACGATTTGAGCTTTTTTCTTCTTTTTTCTCTCCGCATTTTTGTTGGTATTGCCCGAGATGGGTCGTTTCAGCTCATTGGGGTTGTTGTTTGTGAGTTTATTGGTGTTTCTTGATTTTCCGGCGGTGAGTTCCGGCGCCGGCGACGACGGCGACGCTCTTCTGGCGTTGAAATCTAGGATTGACCCGTCGGGAAAGCTGGTTGGTTGGTCGGAGAAGAACGTCGGGAGTTTTTGCCGGTGGGAAGGTGTGAAGGAGTGTATGAATGGGAGGGTTACTAAGCTGGTGGTTGAGCGGCTCAACCTGAGCGGCGCGCTGGATGAGCCGAGCCTGAGCCGGCTGGATCAGCTCCGAGTGTTGAGCTTCAAGGATAACTCCCTCTCCGGCGAAATCCCTAGCCTCGCCGCCCTCCCAAACCTCAAATCTCTCTTCCTCAACAACAACTTCTTCACCGGCGGATTTCCGGCGAATCTCTCGCTCCTCCACCGCCTCAAAGTCATCGTCCTCTCCGGGAACTCACTCTCCGGCGAAATCCCGCCCGAATTGCTCCGTTTGTCGCGCCTCTACGTGCTCTACTTACAAGACAATCAGTTCACCGGGGAAATCCCGCCGTTGAATCAGACGAGCCTGAGATTCTTCAACGTCTCCAACAACCAACTCTCCGGCAGAATCCCGACCACTCCGGCATTGGCTGGGTTTAACCAGTCGGCATTTTCCGGAAACCTAGAATTGTGCGGCGAGCAAATACACAAAGCCTGTCCAAATTCCGGCCCTTCTATCAGTCCATCCTACCCGATTATCCCTACAAATCATCGGAAGAGGAATCGGAATCGGAAACTGGTGCTAATAATCGTTCCAATTATCGGCGGAATTCTGCTATTATGTCTAGCCGCGGCCATTCTGATAATCTGTCTGAGAAGACGAGGGAGGAAGATCGGGGAAGTGAAGAGCAAAGCGGCGGCGGAGGGCGGAGGAGGAGGAGAAGAGGGGAGCGGCGGCGGTGACGGCGGCGGCGGTAATAATGGCGGAAAGCAAGGGTCATTTTCGTGGGACCAGGGAGGAGGGGGAGAAGGAGGACTAGGGGCATTGGTGTTCTGCGGACCAGGGGATCAGCAAATGAATTACACCTTGGAGGACCTGTTGAAGGCCTCAGCTGAAACCCTAGGGAGGGGCACAATGGGAAGCACATACAAGGCGGTCATGGAATCCGGCTACATTGTCACCGTGAAGCGCCTCCGAGAGTCGAGGTACCCCCGGCTCGAGGAGTTCAGGCGCCACGTCGAGATTCTTGGAAGGCTTAGACACCCGAATTTGGTCCCCCTCCGGGCGTATTTCCAAGCTAAGGAGGAGCGTTTGGTCGTGTACGATTATTTCCCCAATGGCAGCCTCTTCTCCCTCATCCATGGTACTAAACTACTAATCCTAATCTTTATCCTTTTCGCCATTTACATGTTCATAGTTTCGAACTTTCGATCTTGATATCTGCTGATCCATGAACTGTGTGATCCCTATCGTGTTATGTGCATTGTTTTGGATTTCTCGTTAGATTTACTCTGTTTGTTGGTTTGTTCATTTGGTGAAATGTCCTTATCTTGGTTCTGTGATCACAGTTTCTTTGTTGGAGCTGGCTAGAAATCCAAATGAAAGTAGCGCGATTGGACCACCTTAGACAACATGTTTTCTTAAAAAGGAAAAAAGAACAACTTTGCATATTCTAATCTTAGTTTTATAGAAAAGGAATAACTTTGGAAATGTCTAATCACAGGAACTCAAAACACCTAAAATGGCACTACATTCTCTTAATTTGTAACACAGACATCACTTATCGTTCTGCTACATTCGGGAAATTTGAGTAGATTCTGTTGATCGCATACTTCTATGAGTATTGTGATCAATGGCTGCCAGAAGCCCAGAATATCCCTATTCAATGCCACTTGCATACTAAAGTTTGCGTAATTGTGCTTTCTAGCACATTCACTTTAGATGTTCTCTTGGATTTGGTTTCTCGTTTTGCCAAAGATCATAGAATTATGAACTCCCATTCGATATTTCTTCAGCTGAACTTCATAATCTTCTTGACGTGAAATGAGAATTATACACTCCTTTCCTTCATTATTTCTGGGACCAAAAAGTCAAAAACTAATCTTAGAAATTCATTATTTCTGGGCTGATACTAACCTTATTATTTCTGGGCTTCTCTTTCTGAACTTTCATTATTTCTGGGAACTTCAAAAACTAACCTATTGCTCTCTCTACATTTATGCTTCTGCATGATAGAACATTAGAATCTAGCTAAGGTCTTTGGAAGCCACTTAAGTGAAATAAGCAATTATTTTGTGCAATAAATACAAACGCGAATCTAAATGTTGGCTATTAGTCTATTACAGATTAATCATGTATAAGTATCAATTTGGGAAAAGCGAATATGTTTCTTGCTCGTTTATCTGCATATCTTATTTTTCCTGCTCTTCTTGGGGGATGAAACTCGTAAGATAATAATAAACGTTATGTTATAAAACGCAATTCATGGTTGTTCTGAGAAACGAGTATTTTTTATAACTCTGCAGGATCAAGAGCTTCCAGTGGTTCAAAGCCTCTTCACTGGACATCCTGCTTGAAGATTGCCGAAGATGTGGCTACAGGACTGCTTTATATCCACCAAAATCCCGGCCTCACTCACGGGAACCTAAAATCGTCGAATGTGCTCTTGGGCTCCGACTTCGAGTCCTGCCTCACAGACTATGGCCTCACGCCGTTCAGGAACCCAGACGCCCTCGAGGAATCCAGCGCCTCTTCCCTCTTCTACCGAGCTCCAGAATGTCGCGACATCCGCAGGCCTCTAACGCAGCAGGCGGACGTCTACAGCTTCGGCGTCCTCCTCCTGGAACTCCTCACCGGGAAAACCCCGTTCCAAGACCTCGTCCAAGAACACGGATCGGATATCCCGAGATGGGTTCGGTCCGTCAGGGAAGAAGAAACCGAGTCCGGCGACGAACCCGCATCTAGCAACGAGGCGTCCGAGGAGAAGCTCGGCGCCCTCCTTAACATCGCGATGGCGTGCGTGTCGCTCACGCCCGAGAACCGGCCGACGATGAGGGACGTGTTGAAGATGGTGAGAGATGCGAGAGCGGAAGCTCAGGGGTCTTCTAATAGCAGTGATCATTCTCCAGGAAGATGGTCAGACACTGTTCAGAGCTTGCCCAGGGATGAGAATTTGAGCATATGATGAGTGTATGTAAGTTCCCAGAAGCTCAAAATTCATGCATTTTTATTCTTTTTTCTTTCTTTCTTTTCCCCTTAAGGTTATGAAATTGTTATTCTATTAGGCATTATTGTAGAGTTTGCTTCTTGAGGAGTTGTAGATCCAATTGTTGTAAAGACTTAATGAACTTTTTTCCTTTCTCATTTACCTACCTACTTTCTTGTCAGTAGGGAAGTTTACTGTCATAGTTTAAATAATTTTTGTGAAAAATGTAAACTGAATGTGGATTAATTCAAAAACTGCATAATACAATCCGGGGGATTAGCCTCTCAAGTGAGCCGTATAGACTGAGAGACAGCGGCCTTAGGACCTGTTTGGTAAAATAATTAGTTTATAAGTCAATTTAGACTTATTTGATCACTATTAGTTGTTTGACTTGGTTTAAAAATTAATATAAGTGTTTGATTAATTAGCTTTTTGTATTCTAAAATGTTAAAATTTATAAAGCTACTTAAAGTAATTTTTTTAATTAGCTTTTTGAGAAAAAAATTATACCAAACAACTATCAGCTAACAGCTAATTTATCAAATACCTTTCTACAATCAGTTAATATTATCAACTAGTTATATCCTTTCAGAGCGTGGATTTACTGGGTTCGCTAAATGTGGGATAAAATGATGGAAAGAATTTTGAAAAGATTTAAATAGAGAAAGACACTAATCTAAAATGGGGGGAGTATAAAAGAGGTATTGTCTTCGTTTCGGTATGACATCTATGATGTTGTGGCAATTAGACTCTAAGCAAATTCAGTCGTAGTTCAGATTCTTTAATAGTTAAATAATTAATACAAAATTTTAAAGTCAATAATAAACTTAAATAAATCAAAACAATATTGATACAGTTTTAAAATTCAATTCAAAATGATAAATTTTAATTAATTTATATTAATATTAGTGGGTCAATTTGTCACTTGACATGCTTTTAAGTCCTAGCCCTGCCCATCCTCATTAGGTGATCGAGCAGACTGACTTGACGAGTTAAAATCATATTGACAGCATTCTGTAATGGCAATTATATCATGAATTTGGGGTTGAGCCTTTGGAAAAATTATATCATGAATTTGGGTTTATTTTGTATCTTTGAACTTAATTCAAAATAACTTTCAAATTATGTGTCGTTGATGTATTCTGTATATACAATTAACATTTCATGTATTTGTAAACAAATTGAAGACTCATATATAACATGGTAACTACAGATACATAATATGTTGTTTAACATATTATGTGTCTCCAGTTAACCATTTATGTGTTTGTAGTTATTATGTTATGTGTCTTCAATTTATTGATTTTATTCAAAAACACATAAACAGTTAACTACATATACAAAATATATGAATTGTAAATAGTTAATTTTTGGACCAAAGTGCACGATGCAATATGAATTCTAATCTATGGTATAACAATTATTAGGTTTAGTAATGGGACGGACCGACTTGACAGGCTAAAACAATGTTGACAACTTAGTTAGTCACAGAGTAATATCCATCCTCCAGGTTGCATTCACTAAAACCTTGTTTGAGCATCCATAATAGTCAAGATATTTTGTGATTTTGAGAAGTTTTTGTAAGTGTTATTAGGAAAGAGAATATGGAAGGAGAGAGAGAAAAGAAAAAATAAATAAAGCAAAACTGATTAAAAATAATAATATAATAATAACTGTCTGGTGCGACTGTCGGCGTGTGCAGTGCACGCGCCCACTGGGCGCAATGGTGACAGCCACACAATTGAAATAATTTTGTTGTGGGTCCCGCATATATGAAATAACTCCACACCTTGTAGATGAGCTCCGACCTTCTCTCTTACACTTCTCTCCTTTATGTTGACACTCACTTTCTTAAAAAGTATGTATAAACTTTACATTATCCTCTTATGTAGATGCTCTTATTACTTGTTACTGATCTTAGTGAGCCAAAGGGACCGGTAGAAATGATTAAGTAATCTTAAAGAGTTAATTCCAGCAATGGTTCTCCGACTATATTGATTTTCCAAAATTAGTCCTTGACTTTTAATTTGGACACTTTAGGTCCCTTGACTTTCAATTTCTTTCCAATTGAGGTCCTTTTGTCAGAATACGGTTAATTGAATTTTAAATGAAGGGGTAAACTCATCATTTCACCTGCCTATGTATTATTCTTAGTATTTCTCCATTGTATACGCAATATATATGAAGATAATCTTAGTCGAAACCCTAAAATGTTCCTCGTCGTTCCCCATTTGCTGACTACTCGTGTGTGCGTTCCTCTATTATTGAGATGTTTACAAGGCATAACAGCGAAATACGAAGGGAGAAATACGAAGAATAATACATAGGCAGGTGAAAGGACGAGTTTACCCCTTCATTTAAAGTCTAATGAACCGTATTTTAACGAAAGGACCTCAATTGGAAAGAAATTGAAAGTCAAGGGACCTAAAATGTCCAAATTAAAAGTCAATGACTAATTTTGAAAAATCACTATAGTCGGAGGACCATTGCTGGAATTAACTCTAATCTTAAATATAGTGGCGACAATTATTGGGTGTTCTTGGAAGTGATTAAGTAATTCTTGTATCAAATATCTTCCTTTAATTGATTCACTTTCATTCAAATCACTCGTTTTCATACAAGTTAAACTTTATAGAATGAACAAATAATATACAATTAATAATTGTTGAAATATGCTATAAGATTACAATTTTAAAATGTACAAATTATAATTTATAATCTTATTTTTTTTTTATTAATTTAATAAGTTAAGAAGGGGACAAAGTACCTGCTAGGTCCCTGTACTGTAGCGTTTTGTTCAATTTAGTTCATGTACCTTTATTTTGTTTAATTTAAAGACAATACTTAACACTGTTAATTTTTTCTGTTAAGTTTGTCCATGTGACATTCAAATTGCCATGTCAGATTGTGTGATGTGGCATAAAATACTATAATTCCGACAAAAATAATGTAAGGATTTGAACTTGGAACCTCTTATTTAAAAGAATGGCTCACCAGTCACCACTGCCAAACTACACACTACATTTGCTTTATGTTAGTTAAAATTATAGGGATAAAGTGCAAATAAGCCACTGAACTATTTTGGAAACATCAATTAAGCCATCGAACTCAAATAACCCCCAAATAAGTCATTGAACCCTGAAAAAAAGAACAATCAACATTTTTAACAGGTTAACTCTAGGTTTTTGCTGACTGGATTGTCAAATGTTTATTTTATTTATGTTTTTTTTTCATTATAATCCACCACATACTAATATATTTTAAAGTAATTATAATCAAAATAGTTTTGTCTTTTCTAGATCTAATTTATTTATTTATTAATTATTTTTTAAGCAAAAGATCCAGTGAAAAAATAATAATAAATAAATCAATCAAATCTCGACAAGACAAAACTATTTTGATTATAATTACTTTAAAATATAATACTATCCAAGTGGATGATATATTAATATTAATAATAATAAGAAGAAACGTAAATAAAAACAATCCAGTCAGCAAAAATCTGGAGATAACCTGTTAAAAATGTTAATTGTTCTTTTCTCCTGGTCCAATGGCTTATTTGCTCTTTTTTCCCAGGTTCAATGGCTTATTTGAGGGTTATTTGAGTTCGATGGCTTAATTGATGTTTCCCAAATAGTTCAGTGGCTTATTTGTACTTTACCCCAAAATTATATAATAATAGTTATTCTTCTTAAGTACTAAAGTATAAAAAAGGAAAAAATTGATGCGTATTGCTTGACAGCTTAGTGGTGGAGAACTTGGTGCCTACGTGCAGACGATTTACTATTATTACAAATTTTAATGTAATAAGATTAATGTGTAGCTTGGTGGTGTGGTCCTCATCTTTTAAACAAGAGGTTGTAGGTTTGAGTCTTACTCCATTTTTGTGCGAAAATCATATTCTTTTATGCCACATCAAAAAATATGACATGGCAATGCCACATCACACAATCTGACATGGCAATTTAGATGCCACGTGGACAAAATTAACGGTGTTAAGTATTGTCCTTAATTGTTCTAAATCTTAAAGTACAAGGACTAAATGTAACAAAATAAAAGTACATGGGCTAAATTGAACAAAACGCTACAGTACAAGGACTTAACATGTACTTTGTCCGTAAGAAGGTTATTCTTGCTCATACTCTGACAAGGGCTATTGATTCACATGCTAGTGCGTATTGTTGGATTTCTTCTGTTCCTTTGTGTATTCAACACTTATTTCCTATAATATGATTTGGTGTTTTTCTTTAAAAAAAAAAAAAAAAAAAAAAAAAAAAAAAACTGTGCACATTCTCTCGTGTGCTAGTCCAAAACGACTTACTATCGAACTAGGCTCATGTGAGTAGACCTGGCAATTCGTGTATACGGGTCGTTAACGGGTCAACACGATAATGACACGAACACGATAAGGCTAAACACGAATACGACACGATAAGGTTGACGGGTTCAAATTTGTAACACGTACACGAACACGATTTGTTAGCGGGTTAAACGGGTTAACACGATAGATACGTTTTGTTAATAGATTTCGGATCGTGTCGACACGATATGACACGAAACACGTTTAAACTCACTAAACCTATTAATATATTAAAAAAACTAAAATTTAAAGTTAAGTTATATATAAAAGAAATAAAACCTACAATTCAATCCATCAAACTACAAACTAAAAACAATATTCAATTTATAACATTCATAAAATAATAAAATAACATCCAAAAATCATAATTAAAGAAGTCCATGCTAGTTTTAGAATAAAATTGAACACAATAAAAACTCAAACTTCATATTGTTGAACATCAATAATTGGTGTATGTTCATGATATCTTTTTTAATCTCATTCATGACAATGGTTCTTAGCGGGTTCTGAACAGGTTTGTGTAAACGGGTTCGTGTTTACGGGTTAACACGATAATATTAACGGGTTAAACGAGTTCTTAATAGGTTTAACAGGTTGACCCGTTAAGACATGAAACATAACGGGTCCTTAACAGGTCAACCCGTTAACGACCCGGGACATGTTAAGGCTAAACACTAACCCGTTATTTTCGTGTCCGGTTTCGTGTCGTGTTAACGGGTCGTGTCCATAATTGCCAGGTCTACATGTGAGCCTATGTAACTAACATACCTTGATTTACAGAAAAACTACTACTCGAGGTATTCTGTGAATAAAGCTTACCT